AGGCCTGGCTACAACCTGTTCCTGTGGTGCCTGGTGACGGTGTCCAGGGACTTGCTGAGGACACAGGTATATGGCAGGAGGGCAGGTGTGAAGCGGTCTTCTGCTTGAACTTCAGACTGGGGAATTTGAATGTCCTTATATCTATAGCCATCATTCATTCAGTCAGCATTTATTCTGGCTCTACCATGTTTCAGGAATGTGTATAGAGAGAAGAGAGCATGGGCTGGGAGGCAGAGAGACCTCCATCACATCTGTCTCTGCACCTTCCCATCTGGGTGGCTTTAGGCCTTCTTGAGTCTCATTTCTTCTCCTGTGGAAAAAAATGTGGCTAATAATACTTAATGGCAGGGTTGTTGTGACGTGTATTAATATATGAAGAAGATCCTTATAATAGCATCTGATAGGTAGTAGATATTCTACAAATGGTAGCCTACTTTTTAATTTAAGTATAATTCACATAACACTGGGGAAGGGAGCCCTCAAAATTCACCATATTAACTATTTTAGAGTATGTGCAATTCAGTCATTCTTAGTATATTCACAATGTGGAACCAACCGTCTTCACTAATTCCAGAACATTCTCATCACCCAAAAAGAAATCCCTGTGACCTGTTAAGCAGTCATTTCTCATTGCTCCCACCCCCCCATCAGCAAACCTGAATCTGCAAACATTAATCTACATAAGAAACATTTTCATAATGTCTGATGACTTTGAGCAGCTTTGCCTATTCTGGACGTGTCATAGAAATGGAATCATATAATATGTGGCCTTTTTGTGGCTCCTTTCACTGAGCATGTTTTTGCTATTAATCCATATTGTAACATGTCTCAGTACTTCATTTCTTTTTATAGTTAAATGATATTCCCTTTCCATGGACATACTGAAATTCTTGCTTATTAGTTCATCAGTTGATGGACAATTGGGTTGTTTCCACCTTTTGACTATTATGAATAATATTGCTGTGTACATTTCTGCACAAGTGTTGGTAGACATGTTTTCTTTTCTTTTGGATATATACCTAGGAGTGGAATTTCTGGGCCATATGATAATTTTATGTTTAACGTTCTGAGGAACCACCAAACTGTTGTCCACAGTGGTAGCCCCATTTTACATTCCTGCCGGCAATGTATGAGGGTTCCCGTTTCTCCACATTCTCCCAACACATATTTTTCTTCTTTATTCTTTTCTTAATTACAACCATCTAGTGAGTATGAAGTGGTTAATTCATTATATTTTTGAATTTCATTTCCCTGTCTGATGACTCTGAGCAGCTTTTCATAAGCTTATTGTTGTAGCTTCTCTTCATTATTCTTTCATCAAATATTTTTGTTTGAGGGGTCCCTGTTGAATGGCCAGGCCTGTGATATGGGCCCCGCCCTGAGGCTACTCAACTCCACTGGGGAAGGGAGCCCTCAAAGCAGATGATTGCAACACAGAAGAAAGTGGGCTGCCGAGGACTGTGCAGTGTGATGGGACCTTTGAGGAAGGAGAAGGAGATGAGTAGAGGCTGAGTGGAGTTTGTCAGGCAGACAAAAAAGGAAGGGGGCCCTCCAGTTAGATGGGAGGGGATGGAGCCTTGGGTAGCTGGTGGGGCTGGGCCTCCTGTCACCAGGTGGGGAGCGCAGGGTTCCCAAATGCCATCCTTCCAAGTCCAGCCGCTGGCCAGTCAGTTCAGGCTCCACCTCGAGAAGCAAGCTTGCGGCAGGCCCTCAGCGAGCAGCGGGCTCTGCTGGGCTTTGTTCCCCACCGTCTGTCCAGGCTCTGTTGCTTTCAAGGCATATTACTCTGCTGATTTGATGCCTACTTGAGGTAGATGCTACATCTCCATTTCCACAGAACAAGAAAAACAATGCTGACAAAGCAGCTCGCCTACAAGTGGTACAACTGTACTTGGAATCCAAGTTGTCTGACTCCCTAGTTTTTTCCACATCTGTAGGCTGAACCTCAGCTCTTCTTACCTTGGCATTCAAGGCCATTTGTCCTCTAAGCCCAAATGCCTTTAACTTCCTTTCATACCACTTTGTCCTAGCTGTAACTGAACCATCTTTTATAATCACTCCAGTCTAAATATTTTCCCAGCCTTCCTCTTTTGGCCTTCGTTCTTTACTCTTTCTGTGTGGTCCAGATTCTCACCATCCTTGAATGGCTGTCCAAGTGCCATTCACTCTGCTTAAGTTTTTGACATACAGAATTGATCATATTCACAGTATCCTGGCAATGTGAGTGAAAGTTATTTACTTCAAGTCATAAATTTGGAAACAGGATCAGAGAAGTACAGTAACTTATCCAACATTACCCAGGACATAAGGAGTCTAGCTTAACTGCTGCCTGCTCTCAAAGGCCTGCCATGGTTACACTAACTGCAGTGATCTCCTTTGTTCCTGAGACCCTATTGCAGTTACTTTCCCCTTAATTCAAACTCAGTATATGAGACCTTGGGTTATCTTTTTGGTGGGTTCTTATTTCGTGTCCCCCGAGTGGCTGCTCATTCTCTGTGTCTCCAGGGCCCAGACTATATTTTATAGGTGTAACTTCTCAGTACATGTTAGGCTGAGGCACAGTACGGAAGACTCCGGACCCTGGTTGTACAGTCTAGGTTCTCGTACTGTTCACACTGTAACACTGACTTCTGTGACCTTGCACAGTGGCGAGCTCTCCAGAATGGAAACACTGCCTGTCCTGCTCCTGTGTCCCTGGGCCTCATGAGTGGTTGGACGCATGGACTTTGTCATTTGGAATCTCAGTTTCCTCATCTGTATTTTGAAAGCATTGAATGAGATGGTCTGAGGATCATTCTTAGTTCCCACATCACCTAGTTCCTGGGACTCTGAATGACTGCTTCTCACACACCAGCAGGACCCTAAGCTACAGGTTCAGTTCAGGGAGACAGAACATTGTTTGCCGTTTCTAATCCAGTGGCTGCTTCTCAACCTTTGCCCTTGAATTTGTCAGACTGAAGATTAGCCCCGAAGCTTTGCCCGAACACATTCAAAAAGTCCCTCTTACCCCCTATGTGTCTTTCTCTTACTCTTTCTGTTTTTTTCACAAGCGAAAACACCCACCTTATAAAGGATAACTTCATTTAGAGCACTTTCTTTAGGTATTACATTTTAGCAGCTTTTTGACTTAGAGTCAACCATGATTTGTAGGAGGGAGCTTTTGCTCTTTTAGAAAGACCACAGACCCTGCATTGTTTATGCCTTAGCCATTGGATGTGTTTTAGAGGCACAAAGAGAACAAGAACAGGCCTTTCTTGGGAAAATAAAACCTGAGGATTGCTCCTCCAGGAAGGGGAAAAGGCCATTTTCAACTCTGGTCAGGAGGGAATCGTTGTCAATGACTGTTGTCTTTTTTTCCTGGGCAGTTCCCTTACACTCCATCCCCTTCTTAAGTCATCCCTTTGCTTTTTAAATTATATCTGTATTCACTTTATCCTTAGGGAAATAAAATGATGATGGTAGCAGTTCCACATCCTGCTCGCTGAGTGCCTAGTGTGTGCCAGGCACTGTGCAGCGACTTGCCGCAGTCATCAGTTATCAGGGTCATCCCCGCCACTCCATGACAGAGGAGGCACCTGCGTTCAGTGGGACTGGGGCCTTGCCCCTCCTTACTTGTCATGGAGGAGCTGGGGCTCCGTCCATTCCTAAGACCATTTGGGAAGATTTGGCATTTGACTACTTCCTGGAATAGTTATGCACGTATAAGCTTCCTTCTCAGCTTAACTAACAAGTTGTGAGGAGAGAAGCCTGGCCTGGGGGAAGTGTGAGAAAATGTTTAACACACACATACATGTGCACACACAGTCACACTCACACATAAAGACCTTCAGAGATGATTTAACCAGCTACCGGCCGTGTGCCACATCCAGTATTGGGCAACATGCTGGCAACTGCACTTAGGATATAGCTGTGGGAACCTTTGAGGAGTATAAGAAATAATAATTCCTAGAGTCTTGGTTCAAGCCCAGAAAATAAGACTCCAGGGTATTCACCACAAGCGGCCAGTTCCAGAGCAGGTTCAAGTTTATTGAGCTCTCATGAGTTTTTACTCTTGATATCTACAGTAAGAGACAGATCTGGGAAACAAAGTTTGAGATCTGAAGGAGAAAAAAATTAATGCTCTTTTAGATTATCTGAAGTTGAACTTAAAGAATGAGAAGGTGGGAGAAATAATACCCCTCTGTTGTTGTGTAGCACTTTACAGTTGCCCCGCATTTCAGTGTGTGTTATGATCACACCCAGGAGGCCCTGGGTGAAATGCCAGGGACCTGTTCCCCACTCCTGGCTCTTCCCCAGACCCAGGTTTTGGGCAAATCCCTTGCATCCTCTGGGTTTGAGTTCCCTCATCTTTGAAATGAGAGAGTTGGACCAGGTGGTTGCTGAGGCTCCTCAGCCTCAAATATCATTCTGAGATCTGATACCAGTGAAAAGACAATAAATGCTACTCGTTGCTCTTCCTCTCTGTGTCTTAACTCAGCCGGTCCCGTGTCTGGGCTTTGGAGAGCTCCAGTTCAAGCTTTACCTCCATAAGATCTATCATCCCTTTCATACTTACTAGGACCTGACCTGGCATAATCCACCAGGGTTTCCTGGGGAGTCACTTTGCTTAGAAAGATCTCAGTTGTTAAAGGATCCATGTGCTAGTTTAGTCTAGATAGCAATCTCAGTGCCATTCCAGTGATTCTAGATTTTCACAAAAGATTCTAGAATTTCACAAAAGGCTACCCTTTAAGATGTACTTAGACAAACCCCTAAGCAAATTCATTGGATACAATTTCAACACATTGTATGGCAGCACTTTTAGCATATGCCCTATATCCCAGAGTTCGATCTGCACTGTTGTATTTAGGGGCCCCACATGCAGGAGAAAACAGGACTTGAGTTTGTCTGCTTTTCCTTTTTAACTGGTCTGGCCTCCGTCGTTGTCTAGCATTTGAAGTTACGGGCATTTTGAGCATTTTGACTCATAATGAACCTTGTTCTCTTGATATACATTTTAGAAGACAAATCCGACCTTGAAAACAGTGTGATGCAGAAGAAAATAAAAATCCCCAAACTTTCTCTCAATCACGTAGAAGAAGATGGGGAGGTTAAAGATTATGGGGAAGAAGATTTACAGCTTAGACACATCAAGGTAACACAATTTTCCTTTTTTTGGAAGTATGTGGGAGCATTTTCAGATTTCAGATAGCTTAAGAATTCCAGGCTTGCCTCCACTCCTCATATAAGTGTCCTCCAGTGTCACAGGCCATGATTTTTTCAGGGTGGGAGAGTCTCGGGACAGCTGGGATGTGTTTGCCTTGCTGGCTGACTTTCCTGGGAGCCCTACTGGTGCCACGGTGCTCTGTCCTGTCTGCACCCTCTATGCAGCATCACCGCTCTGCTGGGGGTTTGGAACAGTGTGTTCCTCTCTGGCCTATAGCTCTGGAGAGTCAGTGCTGAGCTCCAGGAACATTAAGTGGCTGTTCTTGGGCAGCATTTCAGAGCCAGTCACCATCAGATTGTTCCAAACCAAGGGTAGACTCACTAGGAAATGGGTGAGCTAGGTTCACAGAAGGGGCTTTATGGGGCTGTATGTTAGAAGGAAACTTCTGCAGGAGGTTGCATTTCCTCTGATGTGCACCCCACTTGGTTTCCTCCTGCCCTTACTTGTAAACCTGAATACTTTATTCAGCAAGACTTTTTTTTTTTCTGTATAATGTGTACGCCAGAGGAAGGAAGGAGTAAGAAGGGTGCCTTATGCATTGACCACGGGCTGATTTTGGATACAAGGTCAAGGACATTCCCAAGGCAGAACACAAAAGATGCAGTTGAGTTCAGTTCATGCATTTGTTGTATCCCTGGCATGAGCCTGGCCCTTTGTTGATTCCTGGGGTCATGGGAATTGGGCAGACGTGGTCACTGCCCCTGGTAATCTCACAGTATACTGATGCAGACAGGTATCTAAAGGGATCATTACAGTTTTAGTGGATAAGCTCATTTGGACTAGGAGCACCTTATCCTGGGATAGGATTTTGTCATGTAACTCACTATCAGTCATTTTTTTTTTCATTAAATTTCCAGAAACTTATGAGAATGAGAGGTTAAAGCAGGTTTGACCTGACACAGTTAAGTTGTCCGGAATCTTGTGTCCTCAATTGCCTGCACCTCCCACATGCCCCCAATCAGGAGAGATCCTGACCCTACTGCCCTGGGAGAAGAATTCAACTGGTCCTGTAAATCTCACTCCCTCTGGGTGGAAGCTTTATCCACTTGAGCTGGAATTTCCTCAGGCAGCTGAAACCCTGACCCCTGGGTCATACTGGATAATTCTCTTCTCAGTGAACTGTCCTCTCTATATCCACTGTCTTGCTGAGCTTCATCTGGGCCAGAGTCCAAGGGCAGGCTGGCAGATATGGGAAAGGAGCCTAGTGCCGAACTTGGGCTCCAAGTTATGGGTCTGGCTCAGTCTGTGGCTCACTATGTGAGCCTGAGTATAGTCCTTCCCCTCTCTGAGCCTTAATTTTCTCACCTGTATAATAAGAGAGTTAAACTGAAAGAACCTTTCAACACTGGCATTCTTTGAACTTTCCAGTTAAGCAAACATTTATCAAGCCCCTGCCAAGTGGCTGTTCTAAGTAGGCAGTGAAGAAACAGAAAATAAGACATGGCTCCTGCCCTAGGCTAGAGCAGATTAGAGTTCTTAGCATCCTTCCCAACAAAGCATTCGTGAAGAAAGGGTTACTTGGTAGAATTTTTTTTTTGGCTTTTATGTTTTTGTTGTTGAAGAGATTTGAGTGGTGACTCCCCTGGAATGGCTTGGGCTGGCCTGATTTTCACTGATTCTCCACAAATATAATTGAATATCCCCTGTGAGCAGGTCACTGCCTAGGTCCTATGGGTGGGGTATAGGTTGGGGAGCTGGGGAGTGTGGTCATGGTATAGCCATTCCCAAGAGGCAGAGTGAAGGAACGGAAACAGTGCTGGCTTGGGAACCATGTCCTGGGTCTGCCGCCAAAAGCCTGTGTGATTTGGGGCAAGACCCTTCCCCTCTCGGGACCTCTGTTTTCCCCATTTGTAAAATGAAGGGCTTTGAGTAAGTGTTTGCACAGGTTTCTTCAAGCACTGATGTTCTGTGGTTCTGTGATTCTAGGATTGTCTGGGGAAATATTGAGCTGCAGTCCAAGAAAGCCCCAGCTGCCCTTGCCTGAACTGATTCTCGTTGTCCTACACAGAGACCTGAGGGGCGGAAGCCGAGCGAAGTGGCGCACAAGAGCATCGAGGCAGTGGTAGCCCGGCTGGAGAAGCAGAACGGCCTGAGCCTGGGCCACAGCACGTGTCCAGAAGAGGTCTTCGTGGAGGCCTCACCGGGCACGGAGGACATGGACAGTCTGGAAGATGCTGTTGTGCCTCGGGCTCTGTATGAGGAGCTGCTGCGCAACTACCAGCAGCAGCAGGAGGAGATGCGCCACCTCCAGCAGGAGCTGGAGCGGACTCGGAGGCAGCTGGTCCAGCAGGCCAAGAAGCTCAAGGAGTACGGGGCACTTGTGTCCGAAATGAAGGAGCTGCGTGACCTCAACCGGAGGCTCCAGGATGTGCTGCTCCTGAGGCTTGGCAGTGGTGAGTGTCCCAGCACGCCAGCTACACTGCACAGGAGTGGGCCACTTAGTGCAGCAGCTCTTCCCAGAGAGCACAGGGGAAGCAGGCCGAGTGCCCCTGAGGCAAGCCGAGGCCAGAGGCGTGGCTTAGCCATCACCCCAGGTAAAGCCACTCCCCTCCCACAGGGAAGCCGGCAGGAGCTTAGGAAAGCAGCAGCCTTGCCATCAGGAACCCAGTGGGAGACACTGAGAAATGTAGCTCAGAGAACCGGAGCTGGCAGAGCATCTGCCACCACTCATTTATGTGTTTCTGCAGCAAGAGGCAGTAGCGGGGCTTATAGGAAACCACCATGGAGTTTGCCAGATAGTACAGAGAGGGAAGGAGTCACGAGCCTGAAAAAGTATATTACTTTAAGTCAGAAATGGATCAATGCCATGGGAGGGATGCAGATAAAATGATAGGAGATTTCAAAGGATGGAGAGAGGTTGTTTGTAACTGAGGGAATCTTCAGGAAGGAGGTAGGCCTTGAAGAGTGGATAGTCCTTCAAGGCTCAAGAGGAGGCAGAGGGCAACAGTCACTGAGTTTGGGAAAACGCGTGGGACATGCTAAGAGGAGATTACTGAGAATGTAGTTTGAGGACAGGTGATTTTGAAGGCCTTGGAAACCACACAGGTCTGGGATGTCTGGATTTGTTTTTTTAAGAATGAGAAACATTAAAAACTTTTGAGCAGAGGAGCACATGACCTTAGGAAGATTAATATAAAGATACATAAAACTCCTTTGGTTGCTGCATAGAAGAATTTAATAGGCTCTTATACTGCAACCAATATTAATAAACCAGGTTTTTAGGTTTTCTCATTTAACATGGTTTAGAAGCAGGAATCAGAGGAAATCGAAAAAGCAGCAGCCCTAACAGCAGGGAGAAAGACTGCTTACCAGAGAGGAGAAGACAGAAACGCTCTTTCAGAACACAAGAATCTAAAATTGTAAATGATGGAGGCCAGCTAGTATTGAGGAAATCAGTATAACCCAAGTTCATAGCCTCCACAATCAGTCACTCTGCCTCAGTGTTCTCTGCTTCAAAAAGGGAGTAATCTAGTTTAGAGACACAAATTCTATTCCCAGAGTTTAAATCAAATACACTTTTGTACTCAGGAAGGTTTGTGTTATCTAGATAATAGATGTACATGGAAAGTCTCATTCCTCTGGTGTTTAGATGAATGTGCTCTTACCCTCTTTACTTACATTTATAGATGCCTTTTACTGCTTAAAGTATGTCCCCAAAGTAGTGTCTCCATAGATCTTCCGGATGGCCCAGGGAGTCAGCTGAGAGGCCTTGTCACAGAGAAGGAAACTGAGGTTGGCATTTACCCAGAGCCACTTGGGGAGGCAGAGGTGGTACTCGCCTCAAACCAAGTCCTCTGCTTCCTAGGCAGGTAATTTCCCCTCCTCAATCTGGCCTTGGCCATTCTCCCAAATCATAGCCTGTAGAGGCATACGGTGATGCTGAAAGTCACGAGTGGTGTGCAACTTGAAAGGTTATTAAAATTCTTTATCCAAAAAAAATGGCAAAGAAAAACCCTAATTACAGAAATGTGTGAAAGCTGTGTTGGTCTTGGAGTGGGGGTGGGGATGGGAGATGCTCTCCAGTGGTGAGAGATTTGAAATTTCAGAGAGAAAAAGAAAGTGTCTCCTGGACTTCAAATGCGTAATTTTTATTTTCATTTCAATCAGTATGCTACACCTTTAGTAAAGTTCTTCGGGGGAAAAGCACACTAACAAGAAAAACTCTCCATACTGTTTTTTGGACTCCCAGGAAAACTTTGTATCTTCATGACCAGAGTTTATACTCCAGAAACCACTTCTAAACTTCCGGTGCGATAAGACTGTGCATTTTGCATCAGTATGTGGCTCTTCATTCTTAAAACACTTATACAAATGTGACTCCCACCACAGTTTAAGTGTCTCGATCTTTCCAGGCCCTCCCCCACCACAGGCCTTGAATGCCATCATGAGGGCCAGTGACTGGCTCTTCCCTATCTCAGTCACCATTGTCTTCACAGTGGGATGGATTGAATATCAGTCAGCTCAAGCCACAAGTGTTCTTGGATTATGTACCATGTGCAGTGCCCTGTGCCCTGCAGGCTATGGGCATCCCGGAAAATCACCTACCCTGTCCCTGACCTCTAAGAGCTTCAAGTCCATTGACTTGCCCTTGTTAATCAGAGAACAGTATGCGCCAACTTCTAAGACAAATTCACAAGAATATAATAAAAGAGTCTCTACCCTAAGGGGAGATGGTATATTTTCATGGATATAGTCTAGTCCAGTCTAGTCTTTATAACCAGGCCAGACTGGATTCAAACCCAGCTTCTCTACTTCCCAGCTCTGTGGCTTTGGAGCCTTGTTTCTTCCCTTCCTTCTTGCTTTTCTTCCTTGTTTCCTTCCCTCCTTCTTTCTTTTATTCCAATAGTACAGCTGACCCTTGAACAACATGGGTGTTAGGGGTGCTGAACCCCCTCCCTGTACAATCAAATATTTGTATTTAACTTTTGACTTCCCCAAAACTTCACTACTGGTAGCCTACTGTTGCCTTACTGATGAACAGCTGATAAACACATATTTTGTATATGTATTATGTACTGTAGTCTTATAATAAGATAAGCTAGAGAAAAGAAAATGTTATTAAGAAACTCTTAAGGAAGAGAAAAACATTTACAGCTGTACAGTATTTATTAAAAGAGATCCATGCTTAAGTAGACCTGTGCAGTTCACCCCTGTGTAGTTCAAGGGTCAACTCTATTTACTGGTCTCCTGCTATGTGTCAGGCATTTTGCCTAGTGATAAGAGTTTGGTATATTTAAGGTATAGCTATTGCTCTCAAAGTTTGATGAGGAGATGGCCACACAATTGGTGGTAGCACAGTGCATAAATGACACCACAGGGACAAAAGCACGTGGGGCTGTGGAACAGCAGAGCAGGGGCACCCACCATATATGGGGGGATCAGGGAAGAAAGTTTGCCTGAAGGAAATGACTTCTAAGCTGGAGCCTCAAGGATACCCAGGCATGAGTCAGTGGTTGGGAAGAGTGAGGAGCAATCTAGGCATAGAGCACCTCTGAGCTTGGTGTTCTCATCTGTACAGTGGAAATAATAGTATCCTCTTCACAGCCTTGTGATACACAGCATAGTGCCTGGTGTCCTGTTGATGCCCAGTTACTGTTAGCTCCTTTTCTACACCATTTAGAGGAGGGGCTAAGACAAGGTCTGGTTTGTTTTTAACGCCGGTTCCCCTAACCGGTAATTGGCTGAATGATCCTGGGCAGGTGAACCAACTTCTCTGCCTCTGCCTCTCAGGGTCTTCTACTATAAAAGATAAAATGCGTTTTATACACAAACACACACACATGCATATACAGTTCAGCCAGTCAGCTACCATTGACCGTATGACTTCCTGAGCCTCAGAACTTGGGAGACACCAAGAAGATTAGGACACTGGAATTTGGGCAGAGGGTAGCAGTGATGGAGGCAAACATGTGAACAGGAAGTTGAGATGAGCTCTGGGGGGCATTTGAAGGTAGAGTCTGGGAAGACACCCCCCTGCTGTAACAGCTGCTGATCTGTACACACCACCAAGAATCCTGTAGTAAGGCACAGAAGAGCCAGAAAGTGACTGAGAGGCCCTCTTGGAAGCTCAGCCTCACCCAGTCTGCAGGAGCACACCCTGGCCTGGGACTGCTGGGTGGCCTGGGCTGCAGCGCCCTTGGCCCCCGGGAAGCTGAACAGCTCCGTGATCATGAAGCGGCAAGAAGTTAGTGTCAAGCTCCAGTGTTGCTGCTGGAGGCCTGTCCTTGGTATTTTCTCCCACCCACTCGCCCACGGGCCCAGTTTGAAGGCCTGTGTCCAGTTTCAGTGTTGGATCATCCACACCGTAACAGGCAGATTCAGAGACAAGGGAGGACAGGGATGCCCCGTTTTTAAAGGAAGGCTCCTTGCCTGAAAGAACCAGTGCTGAGCCCTCCAGGTGCCAGGGTCCTTGCAAGTGGCAGATGGGAGGGGCCAGAGAGCAGGCCCCTGGCCTCTTCAGCCTTCTGGGCACTGGGAGTGGCAAGCAGACCCCCCAGCAGCTCGGGGTTGTGATGGTGCACTGGTGGAGGTTGGGGCAGCAGGGCAGGGGACATCAGCAATAGGGTATGGAGTGTTTGAGGGACTTTACTGGGTGGCTTCCTTCTTCATTTGTGCATTTTTTCATTCATCTTTCATTCATTCCACAAATAAACACAAGACGGATTTAATAATTAAGATTCTCTAGAGGTTATAGGCTGTTGCCTTTATGTTGCTGATGAGGAAATGAGCTCAGCAGTGTCTCAGGCCTATTCCCAGGGGTCTCCTGCACCTGGTCCTGTGTGCTTCTCTCTGGGCCCTTGCCTACATGGCCTCTCTAGCCTTTGGATTCATTGTCACTGACGTGGGGGTAACCCCCCTGCCATCCTTCACCCTTCCCCCAAAGGACCTCTTCTGTCTTAAAGAGAACTTTACTTTTCTGTGATCCAGGCATGGGAAAGATCTTATTCTCCTACCCTGAGAGTCCTTACCTCAGGGCCTCTGTGACAGTGTCAAAATTAAATGAGGAAGTATATATAAAGAATATAACCCTGTGACTAGAACATTGTAAGTTTCCATAAATTTCGATAAATGCCAGTCTCTTTTTCCTTTTCTGTCCTTTCCTACCTATCCTCCCCCAAAGAAGTAAATGCTGAGAACTAATAAGCATGATGATATTCTAATGTATAAAGTACTGAATTATTTGTGTATATATCCATTCATTTATTCTTTCATTCCTTCAACAAACTTTTATTGAGGGCATGCTTTTTTGTGCCAGGACTGTGTTAGGTACTGAAAATATAGAAGTGAACAAGACAGTCCATTTTTTTAAACATTCACAAGCTACTTAGGGTAGTTTTTAAACTGGGGATTGGCAGACTGAGAAGATTCCATGGGGGCAGGGCAGCAGGACAAT